AATTATTATCAGTGAAACAAAAAAAAAAGTGCTTAATGATAAGAGTATTTTGAATAAAGAAAAAAAGCATATTGTGGCTTATTGTTTTTTTATCTGCTTATGTAAAATATCGCCTTAATTTTATTTAATTTTTTTAAATCGTTATTTAAATGCCATTTTAATTTTTAATATTCAATTTTTAAAATTTTAATATTTAGTTTCATTTTTTAAATGTTAACTGTTAAATATTAAAAGCATTGTTATTTCTTTTTTTCCTTGTGCCATCATTTAAATGCTATTATAATTCTAGTACTTAATTTTTGAATTTTTTAATATTTAATTTTATTTAATTCACTTTTTTAAGTGTTAGACATTGAAAGTACTGTTTTTATTTGTTTTTTTTGCCATCATTTAAATGCTTTTTTTTCAAATTTTAATATTTCATTTTATTTAATTTATTTTCAAATATTAAATGTTAAATAATTAAAATTTAAATTTATTAGTTTTTAAATATGTCAATGTTAATGTTACAATTAACATCGAGAATAGATTTCGATCGTTTTTCCTTTAGTAACTTACCACAAATTTTTGTCCTACTCTAAAAATATTAAAATTTTCTCTTTCAAACATTTTCAATACTTTCCCTCAAATATGACTTGCAAACTTGCAAACTGCATGCATGCAGCAAAAAAAGATGTAATTAATAATTTTAATTACTAAAAAAAAAGTAACCATTCTATATTCTTCCACTTATGGTGACCTTAAAATGATTACATTTTAAGGTATACGATAATCGCTTATGTTAAATGATTAAATTATAAATGCGCCAAAAGTTATTGAAAGAGTGGAAAATCTGATAAGCATTAGTTCTTTTCAATCAATTAATGAATTAATTAGTTTAAAAATTAATTACTTCAAGTAATTTATTAGAAGCAGCCGCCATTGCAACGTTTGATTTTTTGTCTGTTGATAATTCGTCTAATTCATAACCCATTTCATTGCTACTTTGAAATTTTCTTCCATCCATAATTCTCTCTTGTAGTTTGAAAACCTGAACAGGTAAGTTATTGATTTCTGATTTCTTTCCGGTACTATAAGAAATTGGAAGGGATTGGTTTTTTTTTTCCTTTTTTTGCGCAATTAATATCATTACAAATTGAGAATATGATTTTTTTTTATTTTTTAATTAGCAATTTATTGCTAATTTAATTAGTAATTATTCATTTAACCATTCGAAATATCGTTCATTCTTCGATTATTACATAATAGATGGCTATGTGTAACAATTACAGGATGTATATTTTTAGCAAAATACCTAAGCTAGTATAAGGTAAGCTAATATAACCTATGCTAGTATATGCTAGTAATGTATGGCTAATAGCCTAAGGATTATTTGGTTATTTGATAAAAATATTTCGAAATAATTTATTGCGATATTTGAGTGTTACTGATATTTTCCTCTTATTTGAAAAGAAAAAAGAAAGAAATAACTGATAATAAATTGAAGAAACAAAAGTTTAAGATTAAAGATTAATGGTTAAATGAATAATTACTAATTAAATTAGCAATAAATTGCTAATTAATTGTTTTTTTGCTTAAAAATAGAAGAAATGACGTAAAAATTTGCCTATAGCATTCAAATATTTTGATAGATGCACAAATAAAAAGGTAAACAGTTTTACAAATGAAAGATTGAATAGTGGAAATCACTAATGTCAAAGTTCAAATTTGAATGATCGGTTTCTCTGATGTATTTAACAATTAAATAGTAGAAATCACTAATGTCAAAGTTCAAATTTGAATGATCGCATTCTCGAGTACAAGCAACAATACGGGAGGTTGTCTTCCGCAAAATTCGTATATATGCTTCAAAATTTTGAATATTTTCAAATAACTTTAATTTTAAAAATTAAAAAGTGAATTAAATTTTTACATCAACACCCAGTCATTTTTCACAAAATTGAAAAGTGAAATGCAAAAATGCTAGCAGCAATGAGATTTACCTTTTATCATTGATATCAGTGATCAATACTACTCTATAATAATGATATCAATAATCAGTATTGCCCTATACCAATGATATCAGTGGTGAACATTACCCTATAATAATGATATCAGTATGAGTGATCAATATTGCCCTATAATAAAGATATCAGTGGTCAACATTACCTTATAATAGCGATATCAGTATGACTGGTCAATATTCCCCTATAATAATGATATCAGTGATTAGTATCACCCTACAATAATGATACCAGTGGTCAGTATTACCCTATAATAGTGATATCAGTGGTCAACATTACCCTATAATAATGATGTTAATAATTAATATTGTCATATAATAATGCCGTTCCTATAGTGATTATATGAGGATTAATTGCCTTCACACCGGAATTGTTATTCGGAAACGGCTAGAGAAAATTAAAATATTTTCAAAATGCTAAGCATTCTTTTCCTAAAAACAGTTTTTCTTTTTTTTTTATTTATCAAAAAAGAAAATGCGCAATTAAATAATGTTGTGTATTAATTGTTGAAAAGACACAATTTTACTAGAAATGACAGATATCAGTTATAGTAATAACAACTAGAACATTCATCAAAATATTATTTACTTCATTTATGATCTTTGCTCATTTATCATTATGATCTTTGCTCAATAATTTATCATTTCAAATTTTTTTAGAATTAAAAGCAATAAAACAATGCACAAAAGTAAGAAAAAAAGGGGAAAAAAAACACTTAATGAAGCCATTCTGTTTTATTTTTTTTCCAAAGATAGGAAAAACTTTTTTGCTTATAACATAACTTATCAAATCTATTTTGCTCTGATATGCATCACTGAACATTTAATGTTATAATGAAAAAATATTTAGCATTAACATGATTTAACTCAAGCGAAAATTTTCTCTTCAATTTTTCTTTTTTTTTTTCTTTTAATAAATTAAAAATTTTCGCTCAATCTTGATATACGCATATATTACTTTAATTAATTAATGTACAATATCAGTTCTCTTGTAATTAATAAAGTATAAAGTAGGATGGAATATTTTAAATGATTTTAAGTGTAAAATGTGGTATTACAATGTAATTGGGTAGCTTATTCTATTAATTAATTAAACAAATTAATTAATGAAATATTTAAAGTTTTATTAACTTGAAAAAAGCTATCATTGCTAATCGTTCAAGAAGAATGAAATTGGTTTTTTCTTTTTTTTTTCCCTTTTAGTTTTTCCTTCAAATAATATCAGTAATAAATCTCTCTTATAATCGATAAAACAGGAAATAGGATGGAAAGTTAAGTAGTATGAATGATTGTAATGTGATAAATAGTTTATCTGGTTGATAAATTCAATAAAAAAAAAATCATAAATTAAAACTTGAAAAAGCTATTATCAATAATTATGGGATGAAAATTTCATTTTAAGAGTTGAAATTCTTCCCTTCAGATACCATCTATATCTTAATATTTTTAATCTAATCAATTCTTCTTATCACTTTTTTTTTCTACATCACTTCTGTTTACACATCTATACATTAAACAAATTTAAATTCTCTCACCTAATGAGATTGGTATAGAATGTGAACAGGTATACAAGACAATGAAAAAGATTGGTATAGAATGTTAACAGGTATATAAGAAAATGAAAAAGATTGGTATATCATAGGCATATAAGAAAGTGGGAAAGATTGGTGTAGAATGTGAACAGGTATATAAGAAAATGAAAAAGATTGGTATAGAATATCATAGGTATATAAGAAAGAGAAAAAGATTGGTATAGAATGTTAACAGGTATATAAGGATATGAAAAAGATTAGTATAGAATGTTAACAGGTATATAAGAAAATGAAAACTTGGCACTTTTTTTTTTTAAATGTAAATAACATCATTGATAGCTGCTATTGCTGCTGCATTAATTTAATGAGGTATATTCGATATATCCTACCTATTTCATTTCTGTTAATTTTATTTTTCTTTTTTTAAAAAATTTTAAACTAAAATTTAATTGCTGGAGCTAAAATTGTTGTGAAATTTTGAAAATTTTTATTCATAACTGATTCGATTGTGTCAAAAAATATTTAAATGATTTTAAAGATAAAATTACCAAAATTTAAAATTATCAAGGCTGAACCCATTTGAATCATACGATTCATTAAGCTAGTTCATTTCTGATTTATTTCAATTGTATATCCGTGATTTCTTGCTAAGTTTTTTTTTAAAACATTCCTAAAACTAATCAATAAGCTATTCTTATGCATTACATATTTTGACAAATAATATTTGGACAAAAAATTTTCATTATTTATTTTAACTACTACATGCATTTCATTGGAATAGATTAATGGAAAAATAAATAAATAAATCAACAATATACAGTATGATTGTTCATTGTTTAATACAATCAATTTGTATGGAAAATAAAATTCCGCAGGAAGAAATGTGCGAGAGGGTGCGGTGGAAAATAAAATTCCGCAGGAAGGAATGTGCGGAAGGAGTGCGGTGG